CTCGGCTTGAATTATACCCTGGCAGTAGCCTGCCCTGGATTAGCACTTGAATTAAGCCGCTTCTAACAAACGACCCCTTGAATCTTGGAAACTTGAGGCTTGTCCTGGAGCTCACCTCCCAGCCGCCTGGCACTGGTCAGATCCTCGGACCTGGCGCACGGGCGGCTCAATTTCAAAAAAATGTAGCGTCCACGTGCTCCATGATCCTCGCCCGCAACTCCTGGTCGCTCCAGGACTGGTGTACCTTAAGCCCCACCCGCACTGCTTCCGAAAGTAGTTGAGGCTTCGTCATTCCGCTCAAGGGGCCTGGGTTTGCTTGGAGAGCGATCAATGAAGCATCGTTGAGCAACAAGCGGATGTACCCGTGCTCCTTCATCTTCATGTGCTTCGTCGCCTCCGGCCAGCGCTCGGGGTCGATGTCCATATCATTCTCGATCTTGTACATGAGGTACTCCAAAAAGTTCAGGAAGCCCACTTCCTTGTCGACATCCCTTAGCTCTATATAAGTAAAAAATTAAATACATAGTCTATATACGGCATATGTATAAGTATATATATGTAGATATATATGTATATGTATATGTGTTCATGCCAAGAATCTCCAGCTGGTCTAGGTAACCTCTCCGCCACATCACGACCAAGGACCTCGCGACTTTGCCTGGAACCTTGGCGTGAAGCAGCTTGGCATAGGCCTGGACGACAATTTCATCATCGCCCTGCATCTTGACCTAGCCCAAAGTTCCTGGCAGCTTGGCTTGAAGACGGCTGCCATGCACGAGATTTGAAGCATGATTCCCCCCCTTCTTCCTTCTTAGGGCCGTCCGGCCCCTGGAAGCTTTGGTTGCAAGACGGCTGCCATGCACGAACCTGCCAAAAATGATTCCCCCGCCTTCTCCCTTCGTGGGGCCGTCCGGCCCACATCCCATCTCTTCTGTCTGTCTCCTCCGTCTTTCTGTATCTCTGTCTCTCTGTCTCTCTCTCTCTCTCTCTCTCTCTCTCTCTCTCTCTCTCTCTCTCTCTCTCTCTCTCTCTCTCTCTCTCTCTCTCTATTTGGTTAGCAAACTGGGGCCGCCCGGGCCGTCGTTTCAGCAAGCTGAAATCAATAGAAACATCCACCTCAAAATCAATAGAAAATCTCCATAAAATCAATAGAAACATCCACCTCAAAATCAATAGAAAATCTCCATAAAATCAATAGAAATCAATTTCCATAAAATCAATAGAAATTTTCCATAAAATCAATAGAAAGACCACGATTAAAATCAATAGAAGTCAACACTCAAAATCAATAGAAACACGTACCAACAAAAGTTCCAAACGATTGAAATTTCCTCAAATTCAATAGAAGTTTCGTGTGCCTCCAAAATCAAGCGGCCGATTGAAAAAAATCAAGCGGGCGTCCTCTGGGATGCTGTATTACACAAAAAAGACACGAATGAACTTACCAGGATCTCTGGTCTGGTCAGAGTAAGACTACTTGGCCGGTCCCTGCCCATAGCATCACACAGTTTTGGCTTAAATACATCGGCTCTAGTGATAGTGACAGTCACTATCTTGCAACATATATATATATATATATATATATATATTTAAGCCAAGGTGCTCCGATTGATCCATAAAGCTTCTCTGCCACATCTTGGCGACACCTGGTCAGGAAGTGTTGCCGGTCGAGCTCCTCGGGTGCTCTGGGAGGCATAGACCTGGATTGAAATTTTCAGTCCAGGTCTATCACCTCCCAGACCACCCAATCTAAATCTTCATGGCTCAGGGTACAGGCCTCAGTGTCGGTCAGCTTTCAATAATGCTGGACACGGCTGTAATGATTGACTTAGCAACACCTGGTCAGGAAGTGTTGCCGGTCGAGGAGAGCTATCGACAGGTGTCCTCAACCCTTCGTCGGCACCGCTCAGCCAGTCGAACTACGACTGGCTGAGTGGCGCCGACGAAGGGTTGAGGAGCTCCTTGGATGCTCTGGGAGGTCGGGCTCCTGTAGCAGTACCAGGTCCATGCCAATTTGAGATCCCAGTCACCTTAAGTATTGAGGTCCAGACAGAAGCAGATCTACTTTCTTTGCCGGTGGTGTTCTCAGACACATGCGTGGGCAGTGTACTTTCGAAAGTGTTATGTGTGTGTTCGCTCAAGGTCTATCACCTCCCAGACCACCCAATGTAAATCTTCATGGCTCAGGGTACAGGCCTCAGTGTCGATCAGCATTCAATAATGCTGGACACTGCTGTAATGATTGACTTAGCAACACCTGGTCAGGAAGTGTTGCCGGTCGAGGAGAGCTACCGACAGGTGTCCTCAACCCTTCGTCGGCACCGCTCAGCCAGTCGAACTACGACCGGCTGAGTGGCGCCGACGAAGGGTTGAGGAGCTCCTTGGATGCTCTGGGAGGTCGGGCTCCTGTAGCAGTAACAGGTCCATGCCAATTTGAGATCCCAGTCACCTTAAGTATTGAGGTCCAGACAGAAGCAGATCTACTTTCCTTGCCGGTGGTGTTCTCAGACACATGCGTGGGCAGCGTGCTTTGGATACTGTAACTAGCTATGACTTCATGATTCATATTTGCCAAGGTCGGTCGCCTACCATCACCATCTGGTCAGACACCATAGAACTGGACTCCAGCTCTATGATGTCTGATCAGCGGGTGCCGGTTGGCCTGGTCCTCATTGGTTACCTGCAGTTGTTGGGCACAGTCACAGTCGGTCTATGTCTATGATGCCTGCCATGCCACAAAGCAATTTCAGCTTCACGAGACTTGCCGGCCCCACTCCCCGTCGCTATGTCCAAGACAGGTTATGTCGGACTGTCGGTCGACCAGTGGGAGCACTGGCTCTGGAACCCAGTTCCCGACGTCCAGGCCTATTTCTCCCCATCGGTCGCTGTCTATAAGGCTATCGCTGGTGTCGGTCGCAGGTGCCTTGCTGCTGTGTTTCAGTTCATTTATCATGACCAGCGAGGATGCAGTAGTGTAGGTCGTCCTTAGTTCTGAACTGCCCGGTCGGTCAGGATGCAATACCAGCTTTCCGACACGGATCCCATTCCGGGGCCGATGTACCAACGGTCGAAGCACAAGGAGCAGGCCCATCGTGTTTCGGCTGGGGGCACAATCATGTGTGTTACTGATAACGCCGGTCGGGAAGATGAGGTCAAACTTCTGTTGACCCGGCTCGTGGTCGTGCTGGAAGTGCAGGTCGATGAGTTCCAACTGGCTATGGAACAAGGGTCGGTCAGACCATGCACCAACGACGGCTTCGTCGTGAGGAACCTCGACTTGTCGGTCGAGAAGCACCTCAAAGTCACACGCATGGACGCCCGCCTCGAGGTGGAGGCGTTGCCAAGTGACGTGCCGGTCGACAAGCCTGCTTTCGTGTTCTACAAGATCTCCGATGATGTGACGGAGCTGTCGGTCGTGAAGAAGCTGCTGGCCAACAGCATCAACAAGCCCCGAGGGCAAAAGCGGCCTTCCTCCACAGTCGGTCGGGGTGGCACTGGATATATGTATTTCAGTAACCCGACGAAGGCTGCGCGGATGTGTTGGCTGGCAGGTGGCGGCACGGCGGTCGATGTGCGGCTGAGCTACTATGGAGTGGGCATGCTTCCAGCTGGTCTCCTTCACTATGATGAAAGCATGTCGCCGGTCTGTGTGCTTTGGTGGCATTCGATTCAGTGATGTTGCAGTTGCATGATTTCTAATCCTGCAGTTGCAATCTACAGCATAAGCTGTCTGCTCAGGACTACTACTACGCGCCGACGCTTCCCCAGATGGGCGTTGAGTCGGTCGCCGCGGAGTACAAGGTCATGGTTCAGTTCAGCAACAAGGTGCCGGTCGGTGACTTCGTGAAGTTAAAGAACCTCGAGACGCTGAAAGAATACATGTACCAGAACGATAAAGAGTTGGAGGAGCTGAACAGTCGGTCGTCAACTCTGCTCGCGATACAGAAGAAGCTGGTCGCAGAAATGGATGAGATGCTCGCCAAAGAGTCGGTCGTGGATCTGGCGGGCAAGACAACGGTGTCGGTCGAGGATCTGGCGGGCAAGACAAAGCAGCCACTCGTCATGGAGTCGGTCGAGGAAGATGTTGCAGGCAAGACAAAGCAGCCGCTCGTCATGGACCAGGTCGCTGAGTCTAGCTGATGTCCACCACGCCGGTCGAGTCAAAGGCCTTTTCCTCACTCTAGCAGGCAGGCTGGCCCTGGCAGTTGTCGGTCAAATAATGACAGACCATCATGATCATGACGATAGTGTTTTCTGAATGCCAGATGCAGCCTGTCCTGCCAGCTGTCGGCCATGCCATGTGTGCATAGAGCCCCAGTCGTCTGTCGGTTTCAGCAGCCAGCGAGACATGTGTTTAAAATGTGAAGCACGTGAGAGGGCATGCCAGTCGACTTAGTGTTCGAGATTGAGTGCAGCATACCTGACTTTGTTTGTTACCTGTTGGTTCTGTCATGTAGTCAAGTTGTTGACTTGGTAGCACAATGCATGCCAGCCTGGCGGTCCATGGTGCATTCCAGCGCATGGCACATGCTTTGGAATCCACTCTGGGCTGCATTTGGTTCGGAACCCCCAGGATCGGTTGCTAAGGCTTGTAGCCCCAAGTTACCAGTTCAGACATCGGTCGACAGCCCGAGCCAGAGATGACCTCCAAGGTTGAATACATGCCTTCACTAAGTTGAACCCAAAGGATGCTTTGCTAAGGCTTGTGGTCCTATCTTGGGGGTTAAAGTCGGTCTAGTGCTGCATCGTCCTAGGTCGGTCCCACTCTGACACATATGTTGCAGCACCTTAGCCGGTCGTGCATGCTCTTCCAGTTGAACCAGCAGAATAGGTTGCTAAGCCTTGTGGGCCTATCTTGTGGGTTCAACATCGGCAGGCCGGTCGATGATCTTGGAAGCACATCTCTGAGTGTCGGTCGTGCCGTTGCCTACCTGGAGTTTGGGCTTACAAGCCTTAGCAACCGATCCTCGGGGTTCCGAACCAAGTCGGCCGGTCGAGCCATGTCCAAGAAAGCAGGCACTCCTGCTTACGCGCCGGTCTACGTGGAGAGCAAGCTCTTAAAGCTTGACGACGTGTCGGTCGCCCATGATTCCGGCCATCGGGACGTCGATGAGGATCGTGTCCTGGAGTTGTATGAGAAGGTGATTTTGGCCGGTCGTTGGGGCCAGGCTTCGTTGTCCCGACCGAAGCTGAGGCCAGTCGAAAAGTTTATTTTCTCGTGCTTGGTAGTTCACTCTTGGGTTTCGCAGGTATGATCCTGCTGGTCGTCCTATGGCCGCATCTGATGGCCGGTCGAAGCTGGCAGATGGCAAGCACTGTATCGCAGCGTTGAAGATACTTGACGACGTGTAGTTTGTCGGTCCAATTCCACGTTCTGGTGTGCACTGGTTTGTCAGCTGGTCAGAAAAGAGTCGGTCGAAGTCCATGGTTTTCATTTCCCTTAATTTTAAATTACTTTCTGACCGAGGAAAGCTGCTGAGACGGTCGCTCAGTCCGATGATGCAACGCAGCTCGAGTGGTACACAGGTGAGATCAAGGACATTCTGACGGTCGGAATGCGTTTTGATTGCATCAAATTCTTGGATGATGATGAGGCCAGGGATGTGCAGTATGACTAGACACTCATGACGGTCACTAGTTACTCCTGTGTCAGGCGGCGGTCAAGCTCTTCTACACCATGGCCCATGAGCAGGAGGCCAACAAGTTGCGGACGACGTCGGTCGAGCACAAGATCAAACTTGTGCGTGCTTATGTCGCCAAAGTTCCTGGCGGTCTGATAAAGGACAGTCGGTCGACCACCTGTTTTGTTGCTGGCCCTGAGTCTCATCTGTCAGGACGCCGAGAACGCCATGGTGGAAATTTTGGGCAAGTCACGCCGGTCAACAATCCACAACTGGTGCAAAGCGACTGCAGTGTTAAAAGAGCCTGTCCTGATCAAGCTGAAGGAGAAGCCCGACCTGCCACAGGGACTTGTTTTCACGAACAAGTACTTCGTCGGTCAAGGAGAAGAGACACGTAACTCGGCGGCATGCCATGCTGGTAGGTTTCCCTGCATTGTTGGTCGCGGAATGCAGTTGGCTCAGGCTTCCTCCTGGAACCCGAGCAGCAGATTGCTGCTCTGCAGCTTTTCTATGACTTCTGTGACGGTCGCGGGACGGTCTCTTCCATACCGACCTTCATGTCTGACTTTTGTGCCCCAATGTTGAAGGCACAGTTGTGGTGTCAGTTGGTCATGAAGAAGTACTCGTCGGTCGTGAGCCGCCTACCAGCGTATGACCGCTGTCAGAAGATGCTGTGGAGTGAGCGTGGACGGTCGCGCATTTTGAGGCTTGCTAGCACTATGAACTATAACTGACATTCAGTGCCATGTCTCATTATTTTGGTGATGGGGTTGCCAAGGACGTGCATGCGTCTTGGCGTCGGTCTGTCTGGTGACCCGAAGATCGAGGGCAGTGGCATCCCTGAGTGTGTGTCGGTCCTCCAAGGGTTGAAGAATCTGGCCGCTGGTCGTGCAGTGGATGAAGCCGAAAGTGCTGTGGATGCGGCCAAAGCAACGGTCACAGAGCACAAGCTGGTCGTTGAGGGGGGAGACGACGAGTCTGGGATCTTGGCTGACGACATCACGATGGAGGCCCCACTGGTGGAGAAGGATCCTGTTCTTGAAAAAGCTGAGGAGCTCGGCTTGTCGGTCCGCTCCAACATTCATCTGTTTCATGACATGAAGACCTTTGGTGATGGCTTCGTCGGTCTATGCCGGGCGACGACCCGTGGCGGCATTTACATCGATGAGGCCACGTCGAAGGACAAGATCATTTTGGGGGACATGGCAGAGTTGTGGAAGGTCGTCACGTCGGTCGTAGATCGGCAATACGTGTCCATGGGCATCTTCTGTGGAAAGCGCCACGACTTAGTGACGTTGGTCGTGAACCTTGGATGGCACAGAGTTCTTTCTAGACTTGTCGGTCGACTGCTGTGCTCAGCGTTGCTTCGGCTCAAGTCCAAAACGGCCGGTCGACCTTCATGGGTCGAATCAGTAACAAAAGCCTCGGGCTGAAGAGGGTGGCAGGGCCCTATGCCCGTTACTGTGCGACGGTCGCCAGGACAGGGACGGTCGACCCTCCATTGAAGCGCCTTCGAGTCAAAACCTTCTTGAAAAACTTAGATCAGAGCCGGTCGCGATGGAAGCAGATGTCAAAAAAGGAGAAACAACCCTTTGTGGACGCGGCGGTCAAGGATCACAGAAAGCACAACGCCCTCAAGAGGGAGCTCGCTCATCCTCCAGTGGAAGTCGACTCGCCGGTCAGAGACCCGAAGCCTGAGAATGATAGTGACCAGCAGCCACCGGTCGATGAGAACCTCGTCAATGAATTGAGGTTCTCCTTTGAAGGCATGGCACTTTCCAGTCGGTCGACCCTGGGACAAGGCGCCCATGGCACAGTTTACCGCTGTGAAAACTTGATGGGAACGGAGTTCGCAGTGAAGCATCTTGGCTATTCATTTTATTATTAAGGTTCATGCGATTGAACAATCATGAATGAATGAACGAATGATGTCTTTGTCGACTTTGGGTTTAGTGCTGCATCTTGTCATGTCGAGGTTGCCGGTCGGCAGCAGGGACGTGAAGAGGGAGCTAGACGTTCTCCTCAGTCTACGCCACCCAGCCATCCTGCACTGTTATGGGCCAGTCATGTCGGTCGACGGAGGTCTCGTGGGCCTTCTTTTGGAGTATGTGCCGGTGACATTGGACGCTTGGCTGAAGACGCAGCCCAAGGCCGCAAAGTGCCCACACAAATGGCATCTGATGGTCGATCTTGCACATGGACTCCAGTATCTGCACTGTCACAAGCTTGTGCACTGTGATGCGGAGCTTAGCGGGTCACAGGAACCCGGTCGTAGCTTTGCTGTAAGGGTGAGGTTGGCACCCACAGCTGATCTTTGGGCGGTCGGGTGTCTCTTGTTTGCGATCTTCACAACATCGCCACTGTGTCATTTGTTTGTCACAGTGAAGGTGCTGTATGACATGTCCTTCATCAATTCCCGAATTGATAAGAACGTGCCGGTCGTCTCTGGCGCTCAAGAAGACATAAGAGCTTTCTTGAAAAAGCTGCCGAACGAGCGACAGCAGCTGAGGCTTTTCATTATTTCTGCAGAGGAGAAGTACAGACACCACGCTGGTCGTTGAACCGCCAGTCGTCGGGTGTCAAATTTCTGTGTGAAGGGGCATGCAGGAAGCCAAAAAAAGATTTAAAGCATCTGCAGTGGCAATCGTGGTCAGTGCAAGGTTTGGGGTGCGACAATCCAATTGGTCGGTCGATGCAACACTACAGCTAAGGAACCAGCTGCAGACGATGATCCCAAACCGTGAGGCGTACGTCATCACCTTCACTGCCGGTCCAGAACAGTCCCGGAATCGTCGACCGACTTACATGGTCTATTCACAGTCGGAGTTGTCGGTCTCTGCGAAGGAGGTGGTGCCGAGCCATGTGACTGTCAACAAATGCCGGTCATTTGCCTATGAGAAGTTACAGATGCGCTGCGCCGACTACAATTGTGCCTTTGAATTAAATTAAAAGAATCCTTGAAACTAGACTAATGGCCCCACTGCCCACACTAACCCACACTCCTACTGAGGCAAGCTCAGGCCGTGCAAACCCATGACAGACATGCCGGCCCATCCCACAGAGGACCTTTGTGGGGGACAGGGCGGCAGGTGCAGGTCAGGTGCAGTTCAGGTGCAGTTCAGGTGCAGTTCAGGTGATGAGGTTTTCTATATTGGTGCCATTCAGGTGCAGTTCAGGTGCAGTACAGGTGCAGTTCAGGGTTTGATGTGGACGTCATCAATCACTTTACTGAATCTGGGAGGAGTTGCCGGTCAGTGACCAAGAGCAGCCAGAGGATAGCAAGACGTTGGACACCACAGAGGAAGCCGGTCCTGACACACAGGCGGTCGAAGCGTCCGTCGACAAGAAGTATCCTGTGGATTTGTGGTTGGTGGCCAAATGCTGGGATCACCATGCGTCGGTCGTGCGAGAAGTCTTCCGTGGTGATCAGTGCAGGTGGATGGCGGTCTCCACACGCACAGCCCATCCTTCCATCTTCGTTGGGGTCCAGTCGGTCGTCTCCACAGTCATAGGTATGGTTCGTGGGCCGGTCGAGCATCTTGCCGACAAAGCATGAACCGTGTGTCAACCAAAAGCTTTTCGCAGGAATGCATGTTAAGCTCAGGCACTCCATGGCACATGGCCGAGTCTTGCTCGACGACATGTGCACCGCCCTGAAACTGGATGAAGCTAGCCGGTCATTGAACTTGAAGCGCAAGGTGACAGACATCCCGTGTGTGCCGGTCTTTAACCCCTATGCAGCAGAGGGCTCAGTGTTCAAGCTGTTGGAGATTCCGGTCGAGAGCACCTGGCGAAATGGTGTTTTGGCTTGAGTTCTGACCTTCATGTCATGCATTGATCGATTATGATAGGACGTGTGCAATTCCGAACTGAGGTATCAACAAGTCGGTTGCCAACTACAATGACATGGAGAAGAAATGCAACGATCTCACACATGAGGAGCTGGTCAAGTATGACCTGGGATTGTCGGTCATCGACGGTCATGTTGCACTCATCACGACTGTCCCTAAAAAGGAGGGGGACTTGATATGCACATGCAGTGCTTTGCATTTCGACAACATGGCAAGCCTCTTTTCGGTCGTGAACTCCGACAAAGTGAACCTCGCCAAGAATCCTGT